GAATATATGGTCAGAGAGCCAGAAGGGGTACTTCAGGCTTGGCCAACCCAGTGAGACAGGGAGAGAGGTGGGAGGAAATGCTCAGAGACCACTGGGCAGGGAGGGGCAAGAACACGGGAATTAAGTCAAGGTGAGAGGCCCAGGCATGAGGGGCTGGCCATTAAATTCGTAATATGTCACACTAAATGCATAACAAGTAAATTTTATTTTTAAAATACTTTAGATTCTTTCCATAATAGGAGAATACTAGCTCTATAACACCCCCCTACAACCCCCCTTTCCACAGTACACACCTTTTTGGCTAAAGGAAGGGGCTTAGTACCTCCCCAGACGGAAGATGTAAAGATGCTGGCAGAGGCACAAGATGGGGGGAGGAGACAGGGGCTGAAGGGAAAGGTGGGAGAAGCAAAGGGCTGCCCAGAACAGAGAAGGAAGGGGACACTCACCCAGCCTGGATGGCAGCTCTTAGGACCCAGCGCTGGTGGCAAGGAGCCCCCAGCTGGGGCCTTTCATCCTCCTGGCCAGCGTGGAGCCCTGGGAAGGGGAGGGGGAGAGCAGAGCTAGGCGGGGAAGGCCAGGGATCAGGGTCTGGACTAAAAAGGCTGGGGTTGCAGCTCCCCGGACCGGCCCCTGCCCCCAACGTTCTACCAGCTGTGTGGCCGAATCCATGTTTAATGACTGTCCTCCCGGGAAACCCAGGGCCAAGGGCTTCCTGCCGATACCATCTCTACTCCGGGCTCCCCCCCAGTGCAGTCCAAGAGCCCAACTCCTCCTTCACCCCCACCCTCAGCAAGTCTCCAACCCCGCCTGCCTGCCAGGTTAGGGATCTCACGGGTCAGGCCGCTGCCAGGATCCAGGCCGTTTCCTGGTGCAGGAGCTGGGAGGGAGGGAGAGAGGGAGGAAGGGAAGGAAGGAAGGAGGGAGGAGAAAGGGGGGGGCGGGAGGGAGGGCCCGGCGCCGGGTGATGATGGGGCCCAGAGATGCGTCCAGAGAGAGGGGCGGGGCTGGGAAGCAAGCTTGGGAAGGGCCACAACTCCGGAAGAGAGAGAGGGCCGCTGGAGGCCAAGAAGAGCGGGCCAGGGAGAACACAGAGGGCCAGGCTGGGCTCCTGAGCCTGAAGGCTGCCCAGAGAAGCCGGTTAGGCCTCAGGAAACCTCGGAGCAAATTCACCATTTCCAGAAGGTCTCTGATGTTCCATGCACTTGTTGAATTTTTCCAGCCCTGGAGTGGATGCCTGGATTAGAGGAGCGGTTCCCATTGCAGTGGGAACTGCCTGCCAGGTGCCTCGCCCTGTGGGACTGGCAGACATGACATGGACACTGAACATTTTACTCCCTCTTTTTCTCCAGGACCTTTAACCCAATAGTCTCTTTGTGGGCTGGGGCTTTAGCCGGGCATCAAGACTTGGATCGCAAGAAATTTCTGCAGGTAACTTTTCTTTACCTTCTTTCATTTTTTTGGTAATCACATTGGTTTCCTTTTTAATTCTTTTCACTCAACACATGAACTTATTCTCCTTCTGACAAGTTCAAATAATATAGAGGTCTAAGGGGAAAAAATACAAGTCCTCAATCTCCCTCCTCCCACTCCTTGCCCAATTCCACCTCCCTTTCTGGAGGTTGCCAATGTCAAGGTTCATGTTTACCCTTTCAGATTTTTTATGTGTGTGTGTGTGTGTGTGTGTACAGACACATACATATATGTATGCCTATTATTTATGCACGGCAGTATATTTACACAGGGCGGTTCACAGGATGTGAAGCAGTGTGACTACAGGTGATCCTCAGGAGGGCTCTCTCACGCATTCTGACTGGGCCCCACTGGCTCTTGCCCTGACACTTCCTTCGGCTCTATTCGGAGGGACCTCTAGCCAAAGGATAGAAAGAGGCAACCCAATTTTCCTTTCCTTTTTTTTTTAAGATTTTATTTATTTCTTTGACAGAGAGACACAGCAAGAGAGGGAACACAAGCAGGGGGAGTGGGAGAGGGAGAAGCAGGCTTCCCGCGGAGCAGGGAGCCCGATGCGGGGCTAGATCCCAGGACCCTGGGATCATGACCCCAGCTGAAGGCAGACGCTCAACGACTGAGCCACCCAGGCGCCCCCCAATTTTCCTTTCCTGCTGGTTCCCTTTGCTTCCACATCCAGTCCAAGCCTTGATATTCCTAACTGCGCCTACAGTCTCTGGAGAAGAAAGGTCGTTTCTGTAACAATAATAGTAACAACTAATACATTTTGATGACTTATTAGGCACTAGGTGCTTTCTTTACATGCATGATATTTATCCTCACACCAATCCCTATGCTGCTTTATTCTCATTCTATAGAGGAAGAGAGGGAGGCTTGGAGAGGTTACTTACCCAAAGCCATGTACTTAGAAACTGGTACTTAATTTTGTCTGACTGTAAAGTGTGTCTTAACTTTAAGTGCATTGCTATAAGTTCATCTCTCTGCTTCAGGTAATCTATGTTGTAACTCAGTTATCCCCTCCATTCTGAATGCACAGCAGATTCCACCCATTTATGACTATCCTTTCAACCATCCTCCTTACTTCTTTGCTCTTGGGATGATCATTACAGCTGCCACCAGCAAGGCTGCCTTCTTCTTTAGAGAATAACCTAGTCCACTCCTTCATTTGCAATCCTGATTTCTTCTAAGACACTTACTTGAAATAACACTTTTAGGTCTCAGAATCCAAATATATTTCTGTCTGCCCTCCCATTTATTTATAAACCCTGTGAGAGCAGGAACAGAATTTCATTCACTGTTACATCCTTCAGGCCTAATAGACCCTCAGTAAATGTTGATTGAACAAATCATTCAACTCCCGTGGCCAGTTATTGAGCAGGCCCACTCCGATGTTTGAAGGTAACTATAGTGGCTATTTAAGAAACAAAGACTGAACTATGGAGAGAAAAAAGAAAAAGAAAAGAAACAAACGTTGATTTGGAATAAAGGTTCAATGTCAGTCTGAGCAGCCAGAACAGAGCTGCTAGACCAACACAAATTATACCTGGTCCAAAGCTGTGTACCTCAAGGATCTTCTCAGACCAACACCATGGAGTTCAAACTATAGACAAAGCACACTTGTTTTTATCAGAAAACCTCAGGCCATATAGGCCCACTTTGAACCTTATCTATTCCTTCAATTATACATATATAAATATTTATTTCAATTGAAATATATATATATTAAAGATTTTATTTATGTGAGAGAGAGAGAGCACGAGCCGGAGGGACAGAGGGAGAAGCAGAGTCCTTGCTGAGCAGGGAGTCTGATGTGGGGCTGGATCCCAGGACCCTGGGATCATGACCTGAGCCAAAGGCAGATGCTTAACCGACTGAGCCACCCAGACACCCCTCAATGATATATTTTACAAGAGCAAGGAAGGCAGTTTTAAAATGCTTGACTGTAACACAAATTAGTAACATTATTTTATACCCTAAAATAGGAAAAGAATATGTCCATGGATTGTATATACATGTATAAAATCAGAAAACTCAGTATCACTTTAAAAATGATTCCTGGCTAAATAGCATTGCTAAAGTTAATTTGGAGTTAAAATGCAAACAAGAATGACTCGTATAATAAGATAGTATGTGTCTCACCGTTTATTTCCAACTTAGTCCAACTTGTGATTTTACAGTTAAACTATTGTGCTGTTTTAAATTTAGAGATTCCAGGGGCACCTGGGTGGCTCAGTCGTTAAGCATCTGCCTTCGGCTCAGGTCATGATCCCAGAGTCCTGGGATCGAGCCCCGCATTGGGCTCCCTGCTCGGCCGGAAGCCTGCTTCCCCCTCTCCCACTCCCCCTGCTTATGTTCCCCCTCTCGCTGTGTCTCTCTCTGTCAAATAAATAAATAAAATCTATAAAAAAAATAAAAAAATTTAGAGATTCCATTTCTACTCTAAGATTCCTCATTACAATACTCTGAAGATGTTAACTATTACAACTAAACGTTTTAATCTTACATAACCAAGTGGATAAGAGTGGGCTCTAGTGCTGGACTGCTTATGTTCTAACCCCAGCTCCTCATTCATTGCCTATATGACCCTGGGCAAGAGTCCTAGCCTCTCTCTCCCTCAAATTTCTCATCTGTAAAATAGGCATACTAGTACTTCCTACTCTTTTGATGGCTATTTATAGGAGTTAATATTTGTAATATTCTTACAAGTGTACCTAGTACATTGTAAGTGTTATACAAAATCAGTAAGGGATTTAGGGGGAAAAAAAACCTACACAAAATACTTCACTTTTTTTCCCCATAATGTAGAACAAAATGAAGGAGAAAAAAGCCAGCTCTGTGCCCCTGTTGGAAGCTCTCAGTGGAACTAGAACTCCACAGTCCCAGCTCCAAGAGAGTTGTGTGTTCATTCATTCAATAATTTGAGAGCCTACTATGTGCTGAAACTGTGAATCAGACACAGCCTCTGCCCTCACAGGACTTGGAGTGGGGTTAGAGATCAGAACCCTAATCTACTTTTTCACAGATGAAAAGACTGAGGTCCAGAGAAGTTATGCCATGCTTAAGGTCACACTGCAAAATACTACCAGAGGTGAGACCAGAGCTTTCTTCCCACAACTCAGTTCAGAACTCTTTCCCAATGGACCACCCACCGTTTTGAGGGCCACATCTCAGCTTCTATTTGACACACTACCTAGTTTTCATGTCCTTTCCTTCTGTGCACCCTCTGCAACCCCCCTCCAAAACCTGGAGCCTAGGGTTTGGAAAAGAAAATGGTGAGCCCTGAAGAGAAAGTCACACGCTGGGCATTTTGAACCATCCTCTGCAAGAAAAGGAAATGTTACTTTATCCTCCCTTAAGCATTAACTCTTCCTATGCCCGAGACGTTGAAGCCGTTAAAAAAAAAAAAAAAAAACAGCCTGAGTGGTCTCACTCAGGACCGGAAGGTGGATCCCCGCCCCCTGGTACGCTGCTAAGACAGATGGGGAGCCACCTGTCAGAGGACGGTGGGCGGGGGCCGGGCCGAGAGGGCCCGGGGACCGGAGGGTGAGCGCCGCTGAGCGCACGCTCAGAGGAGACAGCTTGCTGGAGGCAGGAGATGATGGTCTAAAACCCTGAGAGCTGACGATCAGAACGGAGGGGGGGGGGAGGTAGTCACGGAGGGGAGACAGCTATAGGAGGTGGAGGAGATGGAGGTGACAGCAAGGAGAGTACGCAACGACTAGGGGCGACTTCTGCGCCGACGCCGGGCAGTCGGGCGAGAGGAAAGCAGGGCAACGCTGCGGCGCTGCCGGCGGGCCCCGCCCGGGCAGGGGGTGCCATGTCTCGAGAGCGGCCCCCCCGCACCGACATTCCCCGCAACCTTAGCTTCATAGCCGCACTAACAGAGCGTGCCTACTACCGCAGCCAGCGGCCCAGCCTCGAGGAGGAGCCGGAGGTGGAGCCAGGCGAGGGCGGGACGCGCCTTGGGTCCCGATCCCGCGCTCACGCTCCGAGTCGGGGTCGCCGGGCCCTTTCTGCGCCCGCCGGAGGCGGCGGGGTCCGGGCGCCCCGCAGCCGCAGCCCCGACACCCGCAAAAGAGTGCGTTTCGCCGACGCGCTTGGGCTGGAGCTGGCCGCGGTGCGCCGCTTCCGCCCCGGAGAGCTGCCCCGGGTGCCCCGCCACGTGCAAGTCCAGCTGCAGAGGGACGCCCTCCGCCACTTCGCGCCGTGCCAGCCTCGTGCCCGCGGCCTCCAGGTAGGGAGGCGGCAGCGGCATGCCCCTTTCCCGGGACCTCCCTGACCCGGCCGCCGTGGGCGTGTGGGAGAGAATTTATCAAGCAACACCTATCTCCATCCCCAACCCTAGACTTATTCTTGCTCATTCATTTTGGGTCCACTCTCTCAACTGGGCTCCACTCCGACTGCCCTCCGCCGGGGTCGGCCTCGGCTTGGTCCAGTGCCTCTCCCTGACCCCGCCCCCGTCTCTCCTCTCCTCCCCCTTCTCCCAGGAGGCGCGCGCCGCCCTGGAGCCGGCCAGCGAGCCTGGCTTCGCCGCCCGCTTGCAGGCGCAGCGCATCTGCCTGGAACGCGCCGAGGCGGGCCCGCTGGGCGTGGCCGGGAGCGCGCGCGTGCTGGACCTGGCCTACGAGAAGCGCGTGAGCGTGCGCTGGAGCGCCGACGGCTGGCGGAGCCAACGCGAGGCACCGGCCTCGTACGCCGGCCCGGCCCCGCCCCCGCCGCGCGCAGACCGCTTCGCCTTCCGCCTTCCGGCGCCACCCATGGGGGGCGCCCTGCTTTTCGCCTTGCGCTACCGCGTGACTGGCCACGAGTTCTGGGACAACAACGGCGGCCGTGACTATGCTCTACGTGGGCCCGAGCACCCCGGGAGTGGCGGAGCCCCGGAGCCCCAGGGCTGGATCCACTTTATCTGAGACGCTTGGGCCGACGGCGGGAAAGCCAAAGGCACCCAGGGGCTGGGGGAGCCCGAAGATTTGGCGGGGAGGAATGAGAGAAACCGAGATCGGCTGGGAGCTGTCCAAGAGAGTCAAGTGGGGGAGGGCGAGGAGGATGGGAAAAATCAAAGGGGTGTGGGGGAGTGGGCGGAATGAACGAAGGTCGGGGAGATCGGGGTGGAAAAACATTCGTTGGATGTGAGTGATAGGAACCCAAGGCATAGAAGAAAGGAAACCAGAAAGGGCACTGGAAGGATTAGAAAAAAGCGAAAGATGGGTTTGATGGTGATGTCCTATACCGTGAGCTAGTATTGGGAGAAAGTTAGTGGGCTTGTCAGACCTAGGCAGTTGAAGGTTAGAGTACCTCTTTGAGACAGAGGAGGTATTTTGTTTGAAGTAGGAGCCCACCCTACTGTGGTTATTTGTATTGCCAGCTCATTCCCTCTTCTTACCCGCCGTTGCCTCCTCAGGTCCTCCAGTCCTGCCCGTCCTAGCTTTATACTCAGCCATAATTGCCTTGCTTAAGTCCCAGGAACTGCTCCCCAGTCCCTGGCATTATGACAGGATTCTCTTGTCATTCCCAACGATCCCTGGCTTCGTTTTCCCCTGACTGGCTGGGGAGTGATGGCAGACTGCAATCAGAGCTCCTTCCTCCTCCTCCAGGCAGCCCTGGGGATTAAAATGAAGGCAAAAGCAACTCCAGGCCTGTCCTTGTAGCCAAATAATGTCGTGCCTGAGGAGTTGGTACACTCAGGGGCTTCCAGAAAAATGCCAGCCTCACCTTTCTGGAGTGCCTTTTAATGACCTCTAAGCACTTTATGCACTGTGTTTGTCAGGAACAGTGAATCACAAAAATCACTATCACGATTCTGCCTCAAGGAAAGAGTCACTGACTAGCTGTATTACTTTGGGCAAAGTTACTTCACCTCTCTGGGCCCCAGTCTCCTCCTTGGGAAATTAGATTTTGACTAGGTGATCTGTCACAGTCTCTTCTTGCTTTAACATTTTATGATCTATGAGTGGCAGAGTGTAGATTAGAAGCCACATTCTCCAACATACAGTTGGGAGTGCTACAGTTCAGAACACACAGCACTCCCAGCATTTGGTTGGAGCTGAGGATGGGTCCTCCAGTTTTTGATACAGATATCCCAGAGCCCAGGAAGCATCCTATAACCAGCTTGCAGCCTGATGGTATTCCAGGGCCTTTTTCAAACTGCAGCTCATCCTCTGCCCAATGCTTTTTGCCCTTGCCTGCACAGACTTCCAGTCTAGGTACTTTGAGACAATTTTGGGCAGGTGCATCTCTGTTGGGGAAAATGATGTTTGGGAGCCCCAGAGATGAAACAACGTTGAGGCTCTTTTGAGGATAAAGGATTATGGATATAAGATATGGAAAACATTTCAATTCAAGAATTAAAGCCACTTAGTAATTAAATGGTACCAGAAGATGGCAGTCTGTTCCATACCCTGAGCAAGTGAAATGGGAAAGCTGGACTCCTCTACCCATTCACAATCATGCCTTAGGTCTCCCTAGTTAACCTCTGCTGGTAGTTTTTCCTTTCCTCTTACACTATTCCTAAGCTCTTTGCTTTTTTCTTTCCTTGTCCCTCTCATCACTTTCATTTTTCTTTTAGCATATAGGGTATTTACCTTCGTTTTCTCTTTTCCATTTGCCTCCATCTTCATCCTTATTGATTTCTGCTATTCCTTCTCCCTCCAGAAGGGGTGGAGAACCTACTGCCTTTTCTCCAAGACCATGGTTGATCCACCTTCCTCCCTCAGGCTCCTTCTTGACAGTCTTCTAGAAGGGAGAAGAGGGAAAAGAAGCAGTTCCTGATGCAGATGAACAGCTGCTCCCAGGTAACCAGCTCCCCACACCCTTTTCTACCTGTAACTAGTTTCTCAAAAATGTCTGAATCCTCTTCCTTGTTACTAAGTCAGAGAGTGCATGCACATGTGCCCCATACATGCATTCAGAACAGAGTATGGAGTGTGTTACCAGGCCCCTCCTGTCTAAAGCCTTAGTCCTTTGAAGGAAGATGGCCGAAAGAGAGGAACCCCGAGTCGCTCCTCAAAGAAATGCCGGTTTAAACATCATCCTTACGTGATGAAGAAAACAAAGGATTTCATGCATCTTGTGGATCGCCTTCAGGTCGTATTTCCAGCAGAGTGAAGAAAGAACCTCCTCGAAGCCACCAAGCAAAGCACTTTTTAGTCATCAATGAAGAGCCCAAGGGAGGATGATGGAGGGAGCCTGGGTCGAGGCTCAGTGTATACTAATCTCTTGCCTAATGTGTATGCGCTATTGTCATGTTGTATTAACAATCATAATAGCTCACATTTACTTATCCACTCAAATCTGGTGTCTTGCATGCATTATAATTCTCAGAACAACCCTATCAGTTGAGAAATACTATCCCTGTTTTAGAGATGAGGAAACAGCTCAGAAAAGCATAGTAATTTGTTCAAGATCACACCACTGGTAAATGGCATTGCTAGGATTGTGAACTCAGGCTCTCCAGAGCTTCTGTATATAACCATGTTACTATATTTTTTCCTTTAAAAACAAAACTGAAAATTTTGCCATATATAATCTCTTATTAAGAAAAGACCACAGTTTCTAACTGCTCTGCCTTCCCATCCTCCCAGATTATTGAACTGGCTTAGGGAAGGCAAAGTGCTGAGGGTCCCACAATCCCATGCAGGAACTTGCTGCTCTCTCCTGTACCAGTGTCCCAGGTCTGCAGAAGCAGCAAGGGACCACACTGCCTGCCTGCTAGAGAACTTGGGAACCCATTTGAACTCCAGCTTTTCCTTACATTGGGATTCTCTCCTGGCCTTAACCAACGTTCTACACCTGTTGGTGTGACACCCCTTTCTACTCCCCTGACTGGTCTTGAACTGACCAGTCCTTAAAGTTTCCACTAAAAGGTATCCCTGACTAGGACAACTGCTGAATGGTCTGTGCTTGGTCCCTCTCTGCGAGCCCTGGTATTACTGAGTGGATAAATGTAAACTGGTTGGAGACGGAACCAAGGATAATCCATTTTTCCCTGAGCTTTCTCTGTAAGAAGTACTATGGTTCACCCACTCCCCACCCCCCATCCTCAGCTTTATAGAACCAACACCTGAATCTTCTAGTTCTTCCCATGTAGAGCTGCCCCAGGGCCTGGGGGTAAGCTGATAGTCTAATCTGATATGGGGAACACTAGGAGTTTGGTGGAATCTTTAGAGATGTGTTAGGTGTTAGGCATTGGGATGGGTCCTTTCCCCTGAAGGCTGATGACTATATGAACAGGAGCAATTTAGTGTATAACAGGTCAGCTGTGGACTAGGCAGTGCTAGAAGAGAAAACATTGCCTTGATCAGGGGCTTGGGTCCTTGAAGCCACACAGCTGGAACACTTTTGCCCAGTCTTCCTACACTTAACCTGTCTGACAACCTTCCTCTCGTACCTTTGTTTCTCTTTATGCACGTAGCTCATTTCTCTTCACAATAAGCCCTAACTCCTAAACTTTCCAATCAAACTCCCACATTCCCTTGCTTCTAACACCTGCGTTTCTCTGGAGCTCCTCTGGATCCTTGCAATCTGCAAGGTCATAGAATCAGAGACCTGGAAAAGCTTGTCTTTAGAGATCACTGGGTCCATTCTCCAGTACAAATGAGGACACAGGTCCAGAGACGAGAAGACTTCAGCAGGGTCAGAGAATTTGTTAGTACAGCTCGAGATGGGGCTTGACCCCAGCCCTCCTGACCATATTCCACTCCCAGGCTACAAAACGGGCCTCTACAGTCAGACCCGCAGTTTTTCATGGCAAGCAATAGTATCACAAATGTTTCATTTTCTGTTGCTAGCTTCTATTCCCTTCCCCATCCAGGCATAAAAAGAAACAAAAGGCACTTGTAGTTTTCTGTTTTCCCAGCCTTGGCACTTCTTTGGGTGATATTGCTAAGGAACAGTGAAGTTGCTAAAAAGACTGAATAATCCACCTATTGACAGTTAACCTGGAGAGGAATTGAAAGTTTGCTTTGTGAATCCCCCCAAACCACTGTTCTCATCAGGCCCTCCCAGAGTGTCCTCACTCTCTTCACAGTGCAGCCCTGTTCACTGGGCCCCAGACCCACTAGTATTGGGCCTCACTTCAGCTTCCTCATGCAGCTGCCCTCCCTTCTTGATAAAAGACCTCATATTTGAAATAAAGTTGAAATATGAAAGTATATAATAAAATACTGAGAAATACTGTTTGTTTGGGGTGGATGGTGGCAAGAGACCCAGAAGTGAGATTCTTCTCTCCCACCCCCCATATCTTGGTTATCTCATAAAAGTTCTGTCTGCTGGTGTCCTATTGCTATGCAAAAGTTGGGTGGGCAAAAGATGGAGGAGTTGGGCAGCCCTGGTATAAGATACCCCAATAGAATCCCACCACTATATTGGGTAGTGGTAGGAAAGTTATCAGGGCCCAGCTTTAGTCCCCTGGCACCCAGCACCAATTCCTGCTGCAGTTAAAGGGTACAGCTTGGGTAAAAGCGCCGAGTATCCCCCCCGGTTGAGGGGGGGCTCTTCTTCCTTAAGGGGGCCATCTAAGTTACATTCTGCTCCTTAAACACTGAAGGAAAGAGCAAAGCCCTTTTCTCTATCAAGGGCAACCCTAAAGCAAAGCTTAGGAAATACGATGAAGAGGAAAAGCAAAGACTTCTGTCTACTCCAGAATGGAGCAAAAGGTATTAAAGTGAGGCATCCTTGAGAAAGATCAAGTTCTAACATAATTTTGACTCCCACATGACCTGAACAATGAGAGAATCCAGTTACCCACAAAATAATGAGAACGTTTCTGATAGGGAAGCCCTAGCCTGAGAATAATCAGATGCCTCCTCATTACATCATAATGGCCAAGTTGTGATGTCACGGCAGAGCACCCACACTTACTTTGTCAAACTAGATATGTTAAAGGGTAGAGTCAGCATGAGGAGCAGACACCCAAAGAGAGGTAAGCGGGGGCTTCCCAGGGTTTTCTCTGTGGCTTTATTGCCTAAGGTTCCTCTATGGCCCTAATGTCTTTCCAGGCTTTTCACACCTTAGTCTAGTGCTAGGTCTGTCTGAAATCCTTCTTCCACAAACTCCACTGCAGCTTTTGCTATCCGAAATCTTTAAAAGTTGCAGTTCTGACTGGTCAGTCCTCAGCTTTTGTATTTCCTAGGAGACAGGGCACAGAATGGTGGAGCATGGTTCCTGTAAGTGAGGCAGAAACTCACCATATCCATTTGGGTTGTCCCAAGGGTAGATCCAAGTTTTGGGGCACCTGAAACACAACTTTTGGAGCCTTTTAAAAGAAAAATAAAGGGCACCTGGGTGGCTCAGTTGGTTAAGCGACTGCCTTCGGCTCAGGTCATGATCCTGGAGTCCCGGGATCGAGTCCTGCATCGGGCTCCCTGCTCAGCGGGGAGTCTGCTTCTCCCTCTGACCCTCCCCCCTGTCATGCACTCTCTCTCTCTCATTCTCGCTCTCTCAAATAAATAAATCTTAAAAAAAGAAAAAATAAATACATTAGGCACAAAAGTGAAAATAGTTTAGAATGAGAAAAGATAAGATAAATTTTTAAGTGACAAATACTATATCATAAAATCAAGAAAAATAACATTTTAAAAATTATCTACTTGACAAGCATTTTTTTTTTTACAATTTTGTTTTTGGGTACATGCTCCTTGATTTCTTATATTGATGATTATATTTCCTATAAGGAGTACAGAAAAGTAATTCAGCCTTCTACATGATAACTTTTTTTATTTTTTTTAATATTTTATTTATTTATTTGTATGAGAGAGAGAGCACGAGAGGGGGGAGGGTCAGAGGGAGAAGCAGACTCCCCGCTGAGCAGGGAGCCCGATGCAGGACTCGATCCCGGGACTCCAGGATCATGACCTGAGCCGAAGGCAGTCGCTTAACCAACTGAGCCACCCAGGTGCCCTGATCACTTTTTTTTAAATTCTTAGTGATTTAGAAAATTTTCACCCTCACACTTTATAAGTGATAATGTTACATAATTTTTTTAGAATTTTTGTCAAACTTGAAAAAAAACTATCAAATTTCTTTGATATATGTGTACAATTTCAGAGCATTTCAAATTTGTAATGACTAATATACTCTGGATTGTTGACACTAGGATTAATGTATATGTATTAGTTGGCTTAGAGCTGCCAAACAAAATGCAATCCATTGGGTGGCTTAAACCAAAATTCTCTCACAGTTGTGGAGTGTAGAAGTCTGAGAACAACGTATCTGTAGGGTTGACTTAATTCTGAGGTTCCTTTCCTTGGCTTATATAGTCATCTTCTCCCTATGTCTTCCCGTGGTCTTTCCTATGTTCATGTCTGGGTCCAAATTTCCTATTATAAAGATACCAGTCATATTGGATTAGGACTTATCCTGAAAACCTCATTTTAACTTAATTACCTCTTTATAGAACTTATTTCCAAATACAGTTACATTCTAAGGCATCAGGAGTTAGGACTTTATCATATGAATGCGGGGTGTGGGGTAGATGACACAGTTCAGCCCCTAACACTATACTGGCTATTAAACTATTTACAGAAGTAACTGCAAACGACAGTCATATACCTACTCAACCCAAACTAAATTGTATCCCCAACTCCATTTCCTTAGCCAATCCCAAAATACCTATGGCCTTCCCACTAACACCTGACAAAAGGAGAAGTGTGATGGAGGGGAAGTTAGAAAGGAAAGAGACATCAATCTCAGCCAACTGCAGTTTATTTTTTTTTAAGATTTTATTTATTTGAGAGAGACAGATAGTGACAGAGTTAGTGAGAGAGACCACAAGCTGGGAGGAGAGGGAGAAGCAGGCTCCCGCCAAGCAGAGAGCCTGACATGGGGCTTGATCCCAGCGCCCCGGGATCATGACCTGAGCCGAAGGCAGACGCTTAACGACTGAGCCACCCAGGCGCCCCTGCAATTCAAATTTTTTTTTTTTTTCAAATTTTATAAAACCCCACGACCATGTTAACACATCCTGGGGCTCCTCCAGTGCTCCTCTGTGCAAGGGATGACCCTGAAGTTTCAGTTTCCTTAGGTATACGGTAAATGTGCCTCTGGTTAATCCTGCTAATATCTAAGCCACGCAAAGGAAGAGAGAATTTTCACTAAAGATGGAGAATTAACATCTCTACATTGAGGATGACATGATGAGTCCGCATTCTTCAGCACTAGTCCCTGGAAGAACTGGGAAGATTTGTTGTGTTGCTAAAGGGGGGGCCCTCCCTTCTTTGATATTGTCAGCCTGGATCTATTCCTCTCTTGCAATCCCCATCCCAGTCCAGTCCATCTTCTAAAGCTTTAAGGTGAAACCCACACAAGAGGGAGGCTTCACGGGGCACCTGGGTGGCTCAGTCGGTTAAGGGTCTGCCTTAGGCTCTGGTCAGGTCCTGGGATGGAGCCCCATGTCAGGCTCCCTGCTGAGTAGGGAGCCTGCTTCTCCCTTTGCCCCTCCCCCTGCTTGTGCGTGCTCTCTCGAATGAATAAAATCCTAAAAAAAAAAAAAAAAAAAAAAGAGGGAGGCTTCAGCACACACTCCAGAAAAGGGGCAGATGAGTTTCCTCTTGCCTTGGATTTCCCCTCTCCTAAACCTATCTTCAATTCTGTTCCCTACTCCTGAGTCTCGGGAGTGAGTGTCTTGAGACAAGAAAGGTGGCAGAGTTGTCCACCTTTCATATTTCCAAAACCTGGTGATAAGTGTTGCCCAGAGTGCCTAACTGAACCCTCTATAGAGGGGCAGGCACTAGGTTCCCACAGATATTGTCTGCCTGGCTTTCCAGCCAGATAAGCATGAGTTCTTCCCAGTCAACCCAGTCTTGCAATTTGTTTGGATTATGGGAGAACAACTTCTCCACTGAAAACTGAGGACTGCTGCTGCCTAAAATGTTTCACTTTTCCTTTTATCGTATACAAACTATTGGGGCATGGTAATAGTCATTCATGATTTAGGACAAAGTCTGTATATACTACCAGCCCTGGCTTAAACCCTGAGGGATCAGAAGTTTCAACTCTAAAGCTGAGTTTATATCTACCTTAACCTTTGTTTACACCTATGATGTATTTGCTGGATGCTAGTTTGAAGATCGTAGGGCTGGCTCTTAAGGAAGTTGAAATTTTTACTGAATGTAATGGGGCTAGGGAGTGGCCAGGTACAAATACAGGCATAATAACATAAAATAGGGCTCAGTGCTGAAGTGGAAATACATTTCTGATGTCTGACAACCATGAAAGTGCTCTAGACCTTAAATTGGAGCAATAAAGAATCCGTAGTGGGGGTTGGTTTTGGGGGGAGTACATGGGAAGGGTGATGTCTTTGGAATACAGAGCAAAGTCTGAAATTGTTTTATAAATTATTGTAGCTATGTAAACTATTAAGTTACCTAAATAGGCAAAGAGACTTTTTCAAAGACCAGCATATGAGAACAAAAGAATCACTTCAGAAAGTGCTGTTTCCAAGTTTTAGTCTGAAGACCGAGAATCCTAAATATACAAACTTTTGGCCCAAATTCCAAATATACGAACTTTTGGCCCACAACTTCAGAGTCTGTGACTACTTTGGTGAAAAGTCCATTTTATTGCCATCCCTTTCTTGACAGCAAAAACCAAGGTCCCCAAATAAGAGGCAGGTCCTCCTCACTGGGACAAAGAGGGGGATCTAGGGGTCTGGTGAGTCCCAAACAGGTGCCCCTTCCGGCACTTAGTCTTTGGGAACACCTGTCCGGTTGTTCCGAAGGCGCCGGGCTGCTGGGATCCTCGTCTTTCAGGCGGCAAGACATTTGATCCATCTGGAGAACAAGTTCCCGGTTGCTCTAGACGCTCCGTTTACAGTGACGCTGCTGACGGCCCTCGGCTGGGCAGGCGCGGCTCGGCTCGGTTCTACTCGCGTGTAAGCCTGGCTGAAGGAATGCTGAAAAAAGTCTTCCTTCAGGAGGAACAAATGGGGAGTAGTTGCAAGGCGGTCTTGGACAATTCAACAAACTGCTGTGAATTCCTTGGGAGAATTCCGGGAGGACCAGGGCTCAGCGTACTCCGAAGGTCCGACACGGAAAGGTCGAAGCCGGGGCGGGGGGGGGAGGGGGAGGTACCATTCACAGCACCCTGGCCCGGGGGACATCTTCCCTGCCCCAAGCAACCAATAGCCACCCCGGCTGAGGCCCATGCAGCCAAT